CACATTTTTTTGAATTTTGATTCATTTTTAGTCAAGTAATGTATCTTGATTTAAGAATTTGTACATATTTGTAATGGAAAACAAGACAAAAATACTAAGAAAAATAACTTTTCTTTTTTCAGTGAACACTAAATTTGCTTGACAAAAAGGAGAAAAAAACACCAAAAATGTCTAATTTATAGAATATGTCTTATATATATATTTTTGTATAGTTTTACAAGTTTTGTGGGAAGAACAGAGAAAAAAATGTAGTCATTATTCACAATACTTGTAGCTGTAAAAAAAAAAAAATTAATGTTGCTTAGATTTTTTTATATCCTTATTCTAAAAAAAAAAAAAAAAACATGCTTGACACCACTGTTTCAGTATTTAAAATGCACTTCACATAATGTGATTCATAGTCAAGTAATCTAATTCCCATCAAGGAATAGTCATCTCAACACTGCATGGCTTTCTTTCCTCCAGTTGAAATTTTAGTTGCCAATGGTTGCTGATTGCCGTCAATAATGTCATAAGCACAATAAAGTCATAAACATTTTTTAATCTGCACAGGGGCTATATGTGAATTTCAGCAGATAGGCAAGATTATCAGAGAATAATTAGATAATTATGTATACCAAAAAAAACACAGTACTTTTGTGGACTGTGACAACAATTTGATGTTCAGAAGGTAAGAGCATTCAATGTGCATTGTTAAAATGAATTTGAATTGAACATCAATACATTTACTTAGTAAGAAAAGATTTGCACTTCAGTTGACAAAATATATCCTAAAGCAAAACATTTATCATAAAGGGATCTTCGACCATAAACAATTCTAGACATTCTCGGCAAGTAATTACATTTTTGTTTTAAATCACAATGAGAAAAGAATATTCAACTAAAGAGTGAATGGTTAACATTCAGCAATCACCAAAATCCATCTGTATATCAGTACGATTTAACATTATTAGATTATAATTCGTTTTGTTACCTGTTTAGAACCCTTATCTAATCTTCACAATATACAATATCACATATGAATTAGCAAATAGATAGATCCATAGGCAAATTTAAAATAAAATGTTTACCTGTGACAACTTGCGTCTCAGTGCTGTGCTGATTGACTGTTTTGCTCAATGATTAAATGGCATGTGTCAGGTGTAAAGATTGAACTTCAGTGCACTGGATTTCACAATGTCTTTTTTTTTTTTTTTTTGGCTGCCACCTTCTTCTTGAAGTCTGATTAAAGTTCCATGGCCATATTTGGGATAACAGGATAAAATTGAGCCCAAAGTTAATTATTAATCATGTTAGAGAATCTAAGGGCGATTGTATGAGACAAGATCTCTGTACCTTTGTATTCTCACGTACTCATGCGTATAAATAGATAAATATGCAAGTGCAATTTATTCACAAGAGCTTGAGTTGTCATCGAGAGTCATAACCTTACTGATATTTCTGAACACAATGAAAACTGTGAAGTAAAACCGCTCTGTGTTTAATGTTTCATCATGAGAGAAGAGAACTGAATAAATATTCCCCTGGCATGCACAAGAGAAGGAGCTTTTATAACATAATGAATCCTTGCGTTTTAGTGCTTTAGGGTATTTATCATCTGAGCTATAGTTATTCTATTTGTCAGTAAAAAGAACAGTGATAAAAATCAGCAGCGTGGTCATATTTGAGATATGCGAGAACAACATACATCAACGTAAAGATAATGTGACTCTGTTAAAGCAACTTGCAGTGCAATACAAAGAGGTGGAGTAGAAGTCAAAAAATGCCTTTTGTGTGCATTTATATATGATTTTATGTATCATTTTTCAATCAGAGCACCGGCACTGAATTCATTATGTAAATTTGTATACAGAAATTTTAAAACATACTATGTCTTTGAGCTAAAGAGCAATTACTAAGATAATTATTAGATGTTAGCAATTAAGCACTTTGCCTGATTGCAGTCAGGTTCTAATTGTTTTTAATTAATTCTTAAATATTGTTATTTTACACCACAAGGCAAAGTTTTTTAAACTGGAGAAGATATCGTGCGAAAAAAAGAAACCTGTGTTGATTCAAAAGTTTTATTTTAAAGAAGGATATTGTCATTATGCTCTTTAAACATCACTGACGCCAGTTTACATTCAGAAAACAAATTACTATAAATTTGTTTCTTTGTGACGGAAAATATGGCCAAAGAAAATGACAACACACAAACAAGACATGCAGATAGTGCTTAAGTCACTTACTGACTCTTATACATATATTTACACACAATATATACAATCATATAACAGTAAGTATTTTTTGTTTCACCGTAGTATATCAAAACTATTCAATTAAAAGTCAAACATGCACTGTGCACAAAATTATCATAAAGTAATTAAATAACGTACTCGGTTTGAGGAGTATCATACAAATACTTTATTTTTCAAGTGTGTAAATACTGGACCATAAGCTAAGAGCAACGGAAAACAAATTGTAGAGATGTTTCTCTAAAAACTTGGCAGATTCATGAAATTTCTGAGAAATAAATCTGTCCATAAATCTAGTGGTCTTCCGTCAATTGTTTTTCTTCTTTTGCCCCATCCAGGCTTCCTCCAAGACTCTGTCCGCTCTCATACTGCTTGTTCATTTTGTTTTGCTTCAGAGCGTCTTCAGAGGTCATCCAGGATGATGCCAAACTTCCATGCTTTTTAGCCGAAGTGACATTATGTGTCCGTCTCTTGCTGGTCCGGCATTTGACCCTGGTGCACACCAGGTAAAACACCTCTATGACATTCAGTAGCAGAGACACACAGGCGACCACTAGCATAAAGATGATGAAGATGGTCTTCTCTGTTGGACGAGACATGAAACATTCTACGGTGTAAGGGCAGGGGGATTGGGAACATGTAAACTTGGCGATCATTACAAAGCCGTATAAATAATACTGTCCGACAATGAATGCAATCTCCAGGATGATTTTAAAAAACAGCTGGGTTAGATAGCTGCCGAGCAGGTTTCCTTTAATTTTGACATGGCCTCTGTCATCTGTATATTTGGGTGCCTTCAACATGTGGCCCTCCCCAAGACTTTGTATTTTCTCCCTGAGTTTGTTCTCTTCGTGAATGACCTGCACCGCATGACCCAGGTATACCAAAGTTGGAGTGGATACAAATATGATCTGCAAGACCCAGAAGCGGATGTGCGAGATGGGGAACTGCCAGTCGTAGCACACATTCTCGCAACCAGGCTGCATCGTGTTGCAAACCAAATTAGATTGTTCATCACCCCAAACGTTCTCCGCCGCTGATCCCAGCACCAGGATCCTGAAGATGAAGAGGACGCTCATCCATATCTTGCCGATGACGGTGGAGTGAGACTGTACTTTGTCTAATAACGCAGAGAGAAATCCCCAGTCTCCCATGTTTGCTGATGCTCAGACTTTCCTACAAAAAAAAAAAAAAGACGTAAGAAAGAAAGGGAAGGAAAACATGAAATACAAAGTCCACTTTAGGACTTTAACTTAATCAATAAGCCTTTAAGTGATGGTCTTCATTAATGGTATACTCTTAATAGATTAATATACTTAATAATTAGCCTACAAAACAAGTTCAGCTATTGTGCCCATAAAGAAAAGCAAAACATGAAAAAAGAGGTTATACAGAGGTAAAACTATACAAAGTATTATTAATAAATTAATTAATTGTAAATTTGATCAACTCTATAAAAGGGATGAATAATTGTAATACATTAACATATGGTTCAGGCAAAAAATAAAAATAAATGTTTAACAAATTGAATTTACAGAAGTTTTTTTTACAGGATCAGAGGGAAATAACTTTATATTTCTGAATCTTATTCATTGACTAAACATCTGTGGCTACTGGTAAATACAAATACTCAATTGTAAATTGATTTACAATAAATACATGTTAAAAACTTTACTCAGTCTTTAAAACATTTGCCATATTAAAACACAATGTTTTAAGGTAAAGAACAATTACTAAGATAAATAGTTATATATTAGTAATTAAGCACTTAGCCTGATTAGTCGGATTTAAATAATTTTTATTTAATGTATTCTTAAATATTGTCTTTTTACACCACAAGGCAAACAGCTTTTGTATATGCTACCTAAAACAATGTGTACTTGAACAAAAATATACAAAACATTGTAATGTTGATTTCACACTTACCTTTAGTGAGTTGCACCTCTTCCTGTTAGAAACTAAGCTGCATATCAAGTGATAGCTGAGAATAGCTGAACCTTGATTTTTGGGCTTTACTAAGATTGTGTAATAGCTGAAAGTGGAATGCTGTTACATTGTCCAACGGTAAAAGAACAAGATCTTGAATGCAAGTACACAGGAGTGCCACATTAATGATTGAAAGGCTTCAACAATAATGTGTAATACTTAAGTCTCTAACCCACACAACTACGGTATTCCAATTGAAATAAAAAAAAATCTACTTCACACTAAAGACATTTATAATGTTACCAAAGATTTCTATTTCAGATAAATGCTGTTCTTTTGAACTTTCTATTCATCAAAGAATCCGGAAAAAAAAAAACAGGATTTCCACAAAAATATTAAGCAGCACAACTGTTTTTGACATTGATAATAAAAATAAATGTTTCTCGTGCAGCAAATCAATATTAGACTGATTTCTGAAGGATCATGTGACACTGAAGACTGAGGTAATGCTGCTGAAAATACAGGAATAAATTGCATTTTAAAATACATTAAAATAGAAAACTAAATTATTTAAAATTGTAATAATATTTCACAATATCACTGTTTTTGATCCAATAAATTTTGCCTTCAGTCTTTATTTTTTTCAGCCTTATTTCATTTTCCTAAATACAGAAACTGGTAGAACTAAATGACAAAAACACAGTTTACATGCACAGTTTGAAGCTTTACTTTTTTTCAAATCTTTCTACAGAGTACAATTTCTGACTTAAATGAGAAAACAAAACAGATAAGAACTTTCAGTAATACATTATTGATTTGTTAAATAGAGAGAGAGGGTCATAGCATGCTTGAAGTTGGGGGGTCTCGACCATGCACGAGTCACTTGGATCAGTGGCTGTTTGCTCAAGTTGACCGTGTGAAAGCCTTTGTGTACAGAGACCTGCTGATCAGATATGGACCTCTTGCACGTCAGCACTGTGGTCCTCTGAAGCCACACTTTTAGTTGCCTCATTGCCAAGTTCCCTCCTTTGACGCTCCAGCTCATGGTTCATCCAGTTCTGAATCACCTGATCTGTATTTTTTAAGTCCTTTCTGTTCACAACCGGGGTCACGGGTGTGATGTTGTAGTCCTTTTTGCGGCTGAGACACTCGTTGATCTTCTTGATGCAAAGATATAAGATCTCAATCACATTTAGGAGTAAAGAGACACAGGCCACCACCAGCATGAACCAAATGAAGATGCTTTTCTCAGTAGGCCTTGACAAGAAACAGTCCACCTTGTGAGGACACGGAAAACGGACACAGACGTATTGGGCCTGAAGAGTGAAGCCATAAAGGTAGTACTGGCCCAAGATGAAACCCACCTCTAAAAGTATCTTGCAAAGCAAACTCAGAATGTAGCTTCTCAAGAGACGCCCCCGAATGCTGACCTTCCCATTGTCCCTGCTGTACTTGGGAAATTTGTAGCCTTTCTTGAGGAACAGACTGATTTGCTCATTCTGAAGCTCTTTCTTCATCATCTCTCTCACTTTCTTTTCGACATGTATGACGTGGACGACGTGGCCCAGGTAGGCTAGAGTAGGTGTGGACAACGAGATGATCTGCAGCACCCAAAAACGAATGTGTGAGATGGGGAACGCCTGGTCGTAGCAGACGTTCTCGCACCCCGGCTGCTCTGTGTTGCAGATGAAGTCTGACTGCTCATCGCCCCAAACTCTCTCGGCACCGGCCCCGAGGACTAGAATCCTAAACACAAACAGGACGGTGAGCCAAATTTTTCCCACCACCGTTGAGTGCATCTGGACTCTATCCAGCAGTCTTCCGAGAAAGTCCCACTCACCCATCTTTAATCTTAATTGAATTCCTGAAAGAAAAGACATTATTGTTAATTGGACAGCAGTTCGGCTGCAGTATATATATGCAGTGATGCTCATAATTTGTTTTCACATATTTTATGCAAGCTCTATTGATGGATTCAGAAAATACTGTGTTTATCATCAAGTCAGGAGACAAACCAGGTTCTTTTCTATAACGAACATGGGAACCAAGGTTTTTGTGCTGAAAACCCAAAACATTGATAGTGACAGTGGCAATACTCTTTGCCGTCTTCAAGTCAGCTTGGTGGTTTTTTATAGTCTGCATAAGAATGACATTTTAAATACTTTGGGATTCAAAATGAGACTTGCATTTCAGATCATTATATAACTTTTTGTTTTGTTTTTGTAGGTGAAAGGTTTTATTTTTGACCTTTTACTAATATGGTATTGTTGATAATACAATTTGTAAAGAAACAAACTAAGTTAGGGGGGGGGGGTTAAGATTAGTTATTTTGATTAAAAAATATAGTAATATAAAAAATACAACAATAATTTTAAGGTAAGAGGTCTGGAGGTTAAGTTAAACATGTGCATCTTTCTTTCTTTCATTCGTTCGTTCGCTCGTTCTTTCTTTCTTTAACACTGCCGTTCAAAAGTTTGGGTTTGATAAGACTCTTTCATGTTAGTGAAAGACGTCTTATGGTAACCGAGGTTGATTTTTTTTAATCAAATAAGCATTAAAACATTAATACTGTGAAATATTGTAGCAATTTAAAATGACTGTTTTCTAGATTTATATATTTTTGACTAATTTATTTTATTCTTGTGATGGCAAAGATGAATTCTCAGCATCATTACTCCAGGCTTCAGTGTCACATGATCCTTCTGAAATCATTCTAATATGCTAATTTGCCGCTCAAGAAAAATTATCAGTGTGAAAAACAGCTGTGCTGCTTAATTAAGAATTGATTTAAAATAGACATTTATTTGTAACATTATAAATGCCTTTTCTTTCAAAAAAAAAAAAACCTGACCCAAAACTTTTGAACAGTAGTGGAAATAAATAAAGAGAGAATATTATAAGTAAACATTTCAGTGATAAATAACAAATAACTATACTTTTTGCTTACCAAATATAAGAAGACGGATAGGAAGTTTCACCCGCTCATTGAGGGCTCGAAGGGAGATGTGTGTAACATGTTTTCCTCTAAGCCTTCCTCTTCCTAATGAAGAGGCAGCTTCTGAACCAAAACAAAGATTATCACATTATCAGTGTGTAGACTCCAAACTATTTTCAGCCTTGACATCTGGAATTGGAATATTTATCATGTTCAAATTGGTTTCTTGTGCAAGTCTATATGACACACATTATATAATAGCTTTTATTTTTTGTACTTTACATCTCTGCACTACTCCCATCTGAATATCAAAAATATTTGGTTTCCTAAACATGCGCCATTGCTCTTATCACCAGACAGTCCCGGCCCAAACTCATGCCACTGGTTGCGAGTTGGCCGTATATACTGTATCTGTCAAAAGTGAAAGTATTTTTAGATTAAACACACCTAACTATTAAGTCTATTTCTAAAATAATTTCCATGCTGTATTTCAGTTTTGACTTTATTGTATGAATCCATTGCTGAAACAGCATCCTATTCTTGGTAAATGTATGGTAGTTACTTCTGTTAATATGGATGAGATTATGTGAGTAAAGTGCATTGAGTGTTCCTGGCAGAGGAGACACAACATTTGACTTTAACTACACTTTCAAAGATAATGCTGGCTGTCAGCATGACTGGAGTTTATACAATGGATTGTATAAACTCTAGTCATGCTGACAGCATATATAAATCTCAGACTTTTATCTATAACAAAATAATTTAACAAATTTCATGCAGTCTTTCACTAAATTTCAAGTTAATGAAGATTGTATATCAAAACTTTTCAATTAAAAAAAATTGTCTTTTTAGAATCATTGGAGCTTTTTATTGATCATTTCATAGTTGCAACAACTAAATGAGATACACTGCAATAACCAAACACTAGCTATATAATGGTACAATGAAGATGAGTATAGCCAGTATACTCAAAAACACTTGGAATCAAAAATAAATACTTAATTTACAAAACCTTTTTTTCTAAATATTTGAATCTGACCTTTGCAAAATGTATAAATAATGGATTAAAGAAAAAAGCAGTAGTGCATAAACATTATAGATTTGTCATCATGTTCCAACCATTCAAACCACTTAGAAAAAGGTTTTGTGCAAACAAATATACTGAAAAACTGAGGCATTTCACTCAGAACTCAGTATGAGGGGGTAAAGGGGCAGGGGGAGTAGTCAATTTCCATTTTAAACACTTTAATCACTTATGTTATTCTAAGCTTGGTCAAAATCAACTCTGCAACATCAGTTTCATGAACCAGGTCCTTCACATGGAGGGGAAACATCCCTGTCAGGTGGCCCTTGTAAACACGCGTGATCCCAGCATCCATACCCACTCTGGCATGCACTGCACCAGTCGAAACTAGAAAAAGAATAACATAGACTTACTAAATATGCATACCTTGTTAAAAAAAAACAATGTCTACAATGATTGATTGACTACCTTTATGGTGTGAGGCCAGTATCCTGTGGTTCGGTGAGAGACGCCCAGAGTTGAAAGAGCATGGCTGGCATACACTTGTGGGCTTGGCACCAGCCAGCCAGCAGGACTATAACCTTCAGATCCTTGAGATGAGACTCTAAAAGGCAGCAAACTCTGCACAAAGACTCCTCGATGACCATATTCATAGTGCAGAGAGCGACTGAAGTTATCAAGAAAAGCCTGTGGGGAATTTAAAACACAGAAGAATCATAAAAACAAAAATCTATATAAAAAAAAAAACATACAGTATATAGAGTGCTGCAGGGATGACATTTTTTGTAGGCCAAACCCCAAAAACATGTTAGCACTTCTGATTCCTTGTTTTTTTTTATTTTATTGTTAAATGCCTGAAATAAGGTCTGTGATTAATACAAGCTCAATATATTTAAATGTTTCATTTTAAAACATAAAACACATCAGGACTACTCCCAAGTGATTTTTTTAAAGCTTTAACTTGCTAGTTGCGAACAAGTGGTTAATTGAGCTACAAAGGTTGTCAGTGACATTAAATGTCATCAAGCCAAACTGATAAACTCATCTACTCACTAGTCTGCTTTTACAGCCTCACTGTTTTTATGGTCACACTCTTTTTTTTTTTTTTAAGTAAAGACTGAATTAGTTTGTGGAGACATTTAAGTTGTGCGACTGTAGTACATTTCATTTATGGCCTATGTTTAACTTTTAGCGATTGCATTTAGGTTTCAAAATAAGGGTTATCATGATTAACAAAATGTCTAAGAATCAAACTTTTTTGGTCAAGGAGCTTATTTTCCGCATTAATCCAAAAGCCAAATGAAAAATCCTATTGGGATTTTGTCAAGAGAACAAGGGTGACGCTAACTTCCCAGTTGGCTTACAAAAACACATGATCACCGCAGCACTGGATGGAAAAAGAGTGGACAAGTAGACATCAAGTCGAGATCTGACCGTAGATGCAGAAAGAGCAGCCTTTCTGGAAGTCGGACGCAAGCAGCGCCCAGCAGAAATGTTGACCACTGCTCCTTTTCCCCTTTCCACCATAGAGGGCAGTGCCAGGCGGGTGACAAGAGTGGCAGCTACTATATTTCTATTGATAGTATCCCATACTACAGATTCAGAGAGGTCTGTAAAGTCTTGCGAGTGGTCTAGAGACCCATCCAGGCTGTTAACAATGAATCCAATATCTTTACCACTGATGGCATCTTTAATAGGTTTGAAGGCCAAGGGCCCCTGACTGAAATCAGCTTCAATTAAAATGGCCTCTACTCCATAAGTGTCTGAAATGGCTTTGGCAGTGTCAGCCAAGTTACTGATGTCACTGCTGATTAGAATCACACAGATGCCATGCCTTGCCAGTTCCTCTGCATATGCTTTCGCTATTGCCTCTGAAGCTCCTATTGGAAAACAAGGACAAAGGGGTAGTTCAGTATGCAGTATTATAACATGTATTAAGTATGCATGAATTAGACGATGATTATTCAATTTTAAACCTACCACATACAAGAGCCCATTGTCCATATTGCTGACTAAGGTCTCTATGGGACACAAGACGAGGAATAAAATGAAGCCTTATCAGGCTATAGCAGTCCCTCATAAATATCACAGCCTTGCTGACTGTGTAACACGCACCCACGAGCGCGAGCGTTTCCACATAACAACTGCATGATCTGGCAATTTCTCGATACAAAAGCTGGAAGCTGTCAACAGCGGCCATTATAAGCTGAGATCCGCACAGTTATTTACTTTAAATTAGCAGCCAATGAAAAAACAACAATCTTTTATAGTCAACGAGTTAGTTTGCTCTCAACTAGCTTGACCGTGTTTGTTAATACGAGTATCTTCGGTGTTGTCACGTGAATCAGGAAACCCAAAGTCACGTGACACGCTCTCGTCACGTGATCAACACTAGCGTCTTCTTCAGTCAGCGTCAAACACATGCAAACATCACCTTTCCTTCGTGTTCCTGTGGTTTTATCGTAGTTATTCTTGCAATATGCGCTATCGCAAACTTTGCTGGACATGGAATACATTCATACGGTTGTGTTTCATGGAATATTTTCACGGCAATTGTTCTTTGCAAATATCTGGTGTTTTGTTGCGGATGGCTCAGCTCGGCTGGGCTTGTTTCCATGGAAACGGTACTGCTAACGGATGCTAAGCTGATTTATATACAGCTCTGTGCTTTATGAAACGTCCGAGTATGAAAGATTTCTAATGTTATGGAAGCGACGTAGCTGATCTGTTTGGACATTTTGTGAAATTATTGCAGGTAATGTTCAAAACTTCCCTTGAGCTGTATGTGGAATGTATATTTGTTAATGAGAAAATACAAGCTTAAATGCCAACACTTGAATTCTGAACGTCTCAGTTTTAAGTAACGTTACTTACATAATATTTAATGACTTAGCTAGCGTATAATGCATTACTCCGATGTAGGGATATGATGTAGCCTAAATGTTGTTATTATTAGTGTATCTATATTTAATATTTTAGCTATATTTTAGCTATATTAGTTAGCTCTATGCATATGCACCAAATATGTATATATGTATCAGATTTGGTTTCTTATGATTTGGAAATGGCTCTAATGTGTAAAATTAGTTTTATAGACATATGCAAATTGTGGCTACATATTAATTTCGTTGTTTTTGTATTTATATTACTGTTTAATGGATTGAGTCGGATACTGAATGAAAAGCAGCCTAGTGTGCAGCATACATGAGAACTCCATCAGTGCTGTTTTAAAATTATTCCAGGAATCTAAACTTTGTGGGAATATATACTGCATAGACTGAGTATACTTCCCACCTCTGTTACTACAGGTCAAACACACCTTACTTAACACCTTGTTTCTCTAAGCAGGAGATCCCCCCGTTTTCAGCAGCCATTACTCCAGTCTTCAGTATCACGTGATACTTCAGAAATCATTGTAATATGCTGATTAAAAAAAAACAACAACCAGTAACCAGTTGTGCTGCTTAATGTTTTTGTGGAAACTGTGATACATTAGTAGTGTATTCATATTTATTCAAATATAAAAGTAACTTGGATTTATGTTTTCATTGTTACAGAGTGATATATCTGAGTATGGCTAGTTTAGTGCATCATATGTGCTTTTTTAAATCTGTAGGTATAAACAGATGATGCAGACTCTGAAACAGACCATGATGGTGGTTGTGGAATCACTGATCAATAAATTTGAGGAAGATCAGCTGAAGAAAGAGGAAATGGACAGGAAGAGCCAACATGAGCAGTCAAGCAGCAATTACACTGACAACTGCTCTGACAGTGACTCTTCATTCAATCAGGTTGTTGTTGTATATGTTTAAATAAGTTACAGAGGCTCCTGTTGTTTCTTTGACAAGCATATCATCCTGTTTATCTAAGCCTTTCATATACTATGACTGTACATTCATACTATAGACTGAATGGCTAACTAATGCAGTGTTGGGGGTAACGCATTACAAGTAATATGAGTTACGTAGTCCGATTACTTTTTTAAAGTAACTAGTAAAGTAACGCATTACTTTTTCATTTACAAGAAAATATCTGAGTTACTTTTTCAAATAAGTAACTCCAGTTACTTTGTTTCCATGTATTGACTGACAGCTCTGGTGTTGATTTGGTGACAGAAATCAGGAGTAAGTGCAGAGGCGTTGTGTGTGAACATGATCTTACTGTAGTTCTAGACTAAATATGAACATGTATTTACTCATCTCACCTGCACAAAAACAGATTCAGCATTCCTCAAAATGAATAAAACCAGTAAAAATGCAAACTCAAAATATGACACAAACCTGCATAAATATGCTTTATGTATTTAATCCCATTTTATTAACCAATGTCTTTGCTACTGACCTTGATCCAAGTGAGCCAATGATCCAATTCAGCCATACAAATAAGCAAAAATGAGTTTAGATAACCATAACATTTGTGTGTGTTTTTTTATTATTGCTGATCGAAGAGTGTTGAGCTTTCTCTATTTAAGCCTGAGTCTCATTCATATCACTTTTGGTGTTAAGGGGCTTTTACATTTGCCAAAAATATAACTTTTTTATATTAAAAACAAACAATCAAGCCCAGCCCAGATTTAAAAAGTAAAGCAAAAGTAACGTAATGCATTACTTTCCATAAAAAGTAACTAAGTAACATAACGTTACTTTTTTTAGGGAGTAACGTAATATTGTAATGCTTTACTTTTAAAAGTAACTTTCCCCAACACTGCTAATGTCTTTGATTTCAACACGTAGAGCTATGCATTTATCAAGCATGAACAACTGCAAGTCATCGCTGAGAAGCTTGACCCCGGTAGACCACGAGAGGTGAAAACTCCTCTGATACACCCACTTCCCATAGTTTCAATTGTAGAAAGAGAGAATTGTCGTTCTGATTCAGAGATTAAGCAGTCATCCTGATCTGTTTAATTGCAGGTTCGCTTGGAAGCTTTGCAGTCATTGTGCTATGCCCCTCCCTCTGATGTCCTGAGCTGTGAAAGCTGGACTGGACTGCGCCGAAACCTCTCTGCTGCGCTCACTGACCCTGACCCTGAGCTCAGCGTAAGAGATAAGTGCTAAATAAGCACTGACCTTAGCCATGACCTCAACAACAAAATAGTTACCTTAGCAGCTTAATGTGGAAATACAAGGGCAAACATTTTCAAGCAGTTTCCAGAGAACTGGAACAAAATAATTGTTAACTGAAATAAAATAAAAATAAAAAAACATTTAGTTTAACTTGATGTACTACAATAACTAAAACTGAAAATAAGCTATATTAATTTTTATTTTTAATATATACTGTGTAGACAAAAAAAAGAAAAATACACAAGAATAACTAAAACTTATATAAATAAAAACAGTATCATAGTAGTATCTCAATGATACTTAAATAAATGTTGTTAACATGTCATTTTGCTTTCACAGGATAAAGTCCTTCAATTTTTTGCAAAAACATTTTCGTCTTCTCCGTTAAATGTGACTAAGGATGTCTACAGTAGCATAGGTAGTATCTTAAGCTTATATTAGCAGCATGAAATATGTTTTAATATTCAGTATATACGTGAATGTACAGTCCGTCAGTTCATTTTCATGAAGTGTCAACATTTCTTTTAAGCGAAAAGCTTGGAGGCTCATTTCCTCTACCATAAGTTGAGTTTTCCCAGCGGCTCTACAAGTATTGATGCGAACAGACCAGATATGGCCCGTCTCCTCAAACAAGTATGTGACATTTCCTTCCTCCTATGAATAAAGCTAAATAAAGTTTAACTGGCTTGGATAAAAATATGAATAAAGTTTCGCTTGCTTGTATAAAGATGAGTTTCTTTCTTTCTGGTCATTCTAGATGCGATTGATGAATGACTTTCAGAAGGAAGTGACAACATTTTGGATACGACATCCAGAGAAGTGAGCTTTCACATTTCAAACACATTTCCCGAATATTGTATGCCTATATCTTGATTGTGTCAGATTGGCTTGAATATGAATGACTTTTTTTTCCCTGTGCTCTAGGTATATGGAGGAAATCATTGAGAACACCCTCTCTCTTCTCGCTCTGCATTCTGAACAGGCCATGAGCAGTCCCGGCTCAGAGAAATCCTTGGAGCCTATACACTTAATCTCTCTGCTGGATATCAAAGCCACCTGGTTTAAGAAATGGATGGTGAGCCAACTTTTTTATTAAAGAATAAACAAAACCAAAAGAACAAAACACACACACATCACTTTCTAAATTAGTATTTTCGAATTTTGACTTTACTTTCCAGGAAAAAAAGAAACATGTCTTGAATATATATATATATATATATATATATTTTCTTATAATAATAATAACTATATTAGCAAGGACACCAATGGATGATAGTGTTTTGTTTATTGTAAGCACACACATGCTGCACATGCTTTAAATTAGTAAGGATTTTGATTGCCTGTCAATATTTTTTCGTCATTCATCAGCTAGAAAAGCTGTGAAATCACTCTGAAAGTGTTCTCAGCAATATGTTTCCTCTTTGCTATTATCGATATAGTTTGGATTTTTAAAACTTCACAAGTATAGTTATCGTACTTGGTATGAACGGACCTTTTACACTTAAAGCAGGAAAACTCAATTCAATATACAGTATATTCTCTGAAATTCAGTTTTAAATGTATCTTCGTTTCAGGATGTTTAGGTATGTTTACTGGAAAATGACAAATACTGATTACGAAAATGTGTTTTTAAATGTATATTTATATGTAATACTTTTAAATTGATGTCAAAATATTGTCTTCTAGCATGGCTACTACAGCAGAACCGTTGTATTAAGACTTCTTGAGAGGAAATACAAGTCTTTGGTGAGTTATACCATGTAGTTATACCATGCAGTTTTATTATGTAAAACAGTATAATAGACATTTCAAACAATATTATGCTACATTATGACATGATTTTATGAGCATGTTTAGTGGTGTACATCTAAAATCTGAATACAAAGCACAGTATTCATGCTGTACATTGTAGAAATTGTAGTATAATAATATTCTATTCCAAACATAATCAACATTCACTGGCTGGTTTAAATGAAATGGGTAAAATGCACAGTTTTTTCAGTGCTAATAATAGTATATATTCAAGTTATTAATTATGGATTTTATGCATCCTTTTCACCAGATTGTTAATGCTCTGCAGCAGTGCATTTATTACTTTGATTCCTGGGATTCAGTTAAAGAAGAAACTTTGGAAATTATCCACAGCTTGGAACATCAGCAGATTGGTACGGTTGAACTTTTGCCCACAATGTGCACATGTAGTATCATACTTTATCTGACAACCTGGCTTATGTTTTCCCCCTGTGTGCTGTTACAGACTGTCCTCTCATGGTGAACTAGCTAGATTGTCATTGCTAGAGATAATTCCAAGGGTTTGTGAACTTATTGTGAAGAACTTTCCCAGAATTCTGGTTCTGTATTGTAGTTGGAAGACTCGCATGGGAAAAAACACCCAAACATACACACAGTATTGACTGATTGCATTATCTTCTGCTGTTTTCACAAGTCTTAGCTACCAGACTTTCAAACCACCCACAGTTGTAAAACATTCATAACACATCAGTGGTATTCGAAATATGCTTGTCTAGTTTCTGTGATCAGGGCCAGTTTATGTGTGTTCCACAGAATAGTCACTTCAGTTACTCATGTTTGGAATTGAGATTTATACATCACCTGCAAGCTGAATAAATAAGCTTTCTATTGATGTGTGGTTTGTTAGGATAGGACAATATTTGGCCGAGATACAACTGTTTGAAAATCTGGAATCTGAGGGTGCAAAAATAATCAAAATACGGAGAAAATCACCTTTAAAGTTGTCCAAATGAAGTTCTTAGCAATGCATATTACTAATCACAAATTAAGTTTTGATATATTTACGGTAGGACATTTACAAAATGTCTTCATGGAACATGATCTTTACTTAATATCCTAATGATTTGTGGCATAAAGGAAAAATGGATAATTTTGACCCATACAATGTTTTTTTTGGCTATTGCTAAAAATATACCCAAGCGACTTAAGACTGGTTTTGTGGTCCAGGGTCACCTATTCAGTGGAATCAATCTGCCTTATCTTTATAAGGTCAAAACACTTGTAAAATCTCTAACTGGTGAATATCATAGAAACTTGTACAGGTGACATTTAAATAACAACAACAAAAAAGAATGAAATATGTTTTGTTTTTAAATATATATACTGTATATATTACATTGTTCCATCATTTTCATGGCAATTCAGCACATTTCCATCCACAAATTATCAGTAGTTCAATGTATGCAGACATTTTACTGTTGCTTTTTAACATTTATTTATATTATTCCTAATGAGTATTCTCAATAGATAATTGCAGTTTATTTAAATCAGCATAAATTAAATGAGATGTGCCACCACATATCAATACTCACAATATAAATAATACTGTACTTTGCAGTAATAAATACTATCATAATTGAGAATTACTTTTTTGCATTATGAGAATCGGTGGAGGAAATGTACTTAATAGTCATGAGAATTATTAAACAATGTAAAAAAATTGTTAAAATTAAAAATTCAAATTAAATTTTTTTATGCTTTTTATATAAAAATATAATTTAATCGTTTTATAAATTTGATGCAGTATATAATTTGATATTTCTTTCTTTTGATCATGGAATGCAGTAAATAACCCTAACTACTTTCTTCTCTAATGCTTTTTAAATATTCAACCTTTCTGCACTCAGGTTTTTTAAAGATTTAAATTTGTATTTCAGTGCTAATTTAGAAACAGGAGGTCACATGCAAATGACTGAATCCATTTAGAGCATGCTCTGCGAATGAGTTGTTCTTGTGTTTTGCCCTTCAGGCCCTGCTCGAAGAACTCTCTACACTTCTAAAGAGCTGGAGTTTGTTTATTTCCTTCACTCGCTGTGCGTGCTCGGGAGGCTTGTGATCTACACTAATGGAAGGAAACTTTTTCCCATTAAAGTGAAGAAGCGGATAGGTAGGTTTAGAGGGGAGGAAACAAACCCAGGTTGTGGGTAATGTTTGAGAAGAACAAGTCTGACTCACTAATCTATCTATATACATGTGTAATTTGTCGCCTGTTTCAGATCCGGTAACTTTGACCGACTTGGTTGTGATTCTGATCAATATCATGTACCAACACCCAAAACCATCCTGTGATGAGACGACACATGCAGGTGCGTCATAAGTACTAGAGTGATAAACTCTGATTGACTCTTAACTCAAAAACTCAACCACGCCTGCGTCTTAAAGTCTAAGCGTGTGAGTTTTATGACAGTAGTTATGTAGATGCTAGTGTTAATAGGTGTGTCAAATCATCCATCTCACAGTGCCATTACTGTTTCAGTACTAGGATAAGGGTCTGTTATATCTTCTTCTGGTTAATGAACTTACTCACTTCTTCGGGAGAATAAATTACTTAGCCTTATCAAGAAAACTTACAGGGCTGCACATTATAAATTAACATTATATTCTTATGTGGGACTGATTATTAATTAGGATGTTTATTTTCACCAAAAATGAAAATCTGTTATTGTTTACTCACTCTCATGTCATTCCAAACCTTTATGACTTTCTTACTTCCATGGAACACAAATGAAAAATGCACTTTTGAAGAATATCCATGTTTCAATGTTTGAAACCTTCAATCCCCATCTATTGTAATCGCATCAAAAACAGTGACCCTCAGATCATCCAACATTTCTCATTTTGGGTTCCACAGTGGAAAGAAAGTCTTACAAATGTGTCTCATTCTCAGGTGAACCAGGCTTTAACCAGGTAGCATAAAGCACAAATCACATATTGAAGCACATAACATTTTTAAAAGAGTTAGGCTGTTTTTGTTTTTTCTTGGTTTGTCCTCATTGGACCGTTTGTGCTGCACTTTAAATCATTCAGTTAACTGAGTTCTGCAGTAACACTTTAGGCCAATAACAACCAGGGTGTCCTGAAGCTCCTAACGAGTTATCACAGAGGGGTGTATGTGTGTGTTTGTTTGTGTGTATACTCTAGACTCCCTGTCCCCCACTAATCTTGTGATGGAGGTGTTAAGGACCCTGTGTGACCGCACTGAGTGTGCTGTGGAGTGTCTCTACCAAATTCCTGTTATAGAAACTCTGCTGGCTCCTGTTATCACCCTGCTCAAAGGAAAGCTGGTCAGCACAATGTGAACACTCCCATCAGCACATAATCAAGAGTCTAGACATGATTATGAAATCATTCTAAACTGGGCCCTATTCTACAATTTTATATATTTTTTTTCTTTTAATTTATATTGAAAAATTAGTGAGACAAGTAGTTCACACTTTAGTTCTTCACAACAGGAAAAGTTGCTAAATACTGCATAGGCATCGATATACTAACAATGTAGGTTTTATGCTAATATGACATCAATTCCATTGAATTGTATTAATTTATTGTAACATTACAACATAACAACATACTGTGTATCTACAGTAAGGGCCATCTCCGTAGATCCTTTTGAAAATTAGTGTACATGTACATAATTTTATAAATTATTTATTTTGTAAAATAACACTGACCAAATGATACATTAATGTCAGATGGATTCTATAGCAACTTTGTGACAGAACTTATAAGAAAGGAATTGATGCCGTCTCCATGACGTATCAACAAGGAAAATGTAAACAGAATATTTTTTACAATTATAGCACTACAGAAGAAGCCTGTTCATTTAAATCTTGAAATAAAACCGTAACCTTCTATATAACATCTCATCAGAGACCTCATCTGCAGCATTTTATATGCATTATACTGTTCACCTCAAGCATTTTCAATTTGTCTTTTGTTGCAGCCCAAATTAAATTACCTAGAAAGTGCCTTGACTCACATAGCAGACACGCTGGCGAGGATCGCTACCACTGAACGAGGTTTATCACTCCTGCTTTATGACAGAAGTCTCATCTCGGCCGAGGGTGAATGGTAAGTAAATCTAATTTTGCTCTCAGTTTACATTCATTATTCTTCTTCCTGCTAGTGTCATCTCGAGCTAGTCGGCACTTGTGCCATATATATCATCAGCATGCACAGATGAAAGAATGAGCTTCTTAATAAAAGAAAGGAACCTCTGACACCTGTGTCTTCAGTGACATGAGTTGCAGCATACTTTGTGAAAGAAACAAAAAGTTAAATAGAATAGAATAGAACAGCCCAGTTTGTCAACCACTACGGTTGTATACCACCATTCATTTGGCCATACCAATCCAGCAGTTAAAAGTAGAGCCCGACCGATATGGGTTTTTTGGGGCCGATACCGATATTAGGGAGTAAAAAAAAGGCAGATACCGATATATTGGCCGATATTCTTTGTGTGTATTATAGTACAGTACCAGTCAAAAGTTTGGACACTTTCCCATTCGTGTGTCCAAACATTTGGACATAAACAGAATATATATGCATAAACACATTTTTTGCAATGATCACTCAAATGTGGTGATCAAACACTTATTATGGTGACAGAGATATGTAAGGGCATTTAACAATTTAACAATAAACTTGCGATGAGTGTGATGCACAAAGTAACGGGGTGTTAGTTGTAACACACGTGGTTTGAATATTTATTTTACCATAGTAACATTTAAATTCTGGCTTAAGTAAATGTTTTATCTCAGTTTTTATTATTCATTTAAAATGAGACAAATCTGCTATTATTTTAATCTCCAATCTGTTATTTATCAGTTCAGATAGTTTTTTAATGCTTTGATTACTAGCAGAAGACACTAACCAGTTTTAAATTCCAGTTGTGCAGATGGGGCACGTTGTAACACTGCGTTACAATGTGCTCTTCTATGACATTAACGATGTAATTTACACTATTTACTTTAATTAATTTTAATGAGAAACAGGTGAATAAAGACTGACAGTCAATGTTTAATGTTTAGAAATTATTATTTCAAGATATGTAAAGCATTTTTGCTCGTTTATGTGGGCCGTCCCAAGCATGGTTGCAATGTGTTCGTTGTCAAACTCCAAAATCAGATTATTTTTAATTCTTAAAAAACGCCATTATTTTATTTGAACAAAAATAAATATATATATATACTGTATATATTTATTAACAAAATATTTTAGTTTGTCTTGTATATTTTTTTCCATTCGATCAGATAAGATTTTAAGCTGTTATATGGTCAAGTTACAACGTGCCCCTCAGATGTTACAATGTGTTCCACCTACGGGGCATGTTGTCACATTTCACTTCCATTTTTTGAGGGTAAATAAAGAAAAACGTATACACTGTAATTATGAAACAAAGCGACATATTTGTACTAGACAAGTGTAAAATTACCATGGATAAAAAAATATATATATTTTGAACCCCATGTGGATTTACACAAACTGAGAAAGTCAAAAAGGGTTACTTTATGCCCCGCTCTCCCCTACCTCTCTAAATAAATACAATATAAATTCACGTCTCGCGCACTTTAATGCCCTTTGAATGTAACGTGTACGTTCAGTTTACCCAGAGGCTGTTGGCAAAAGAGCTGCATTTGTTCAGCGAGCTGGAGATTCCTCCTGCCGTGAGCGGGGCCTTCATCTTTGTCTGTCGGCAGATGTACAACACCTGCGAGGGGCTGCAAGTTCTGCGGCCATACAGCCTGCATGAGTGCATCGCTAAAGCCTGGAGAAAGGTGACCTTTATGCACACTAGCCTCACTAAGACCTCACTTGTTGGCTTTAAACCTACAGTCGTCCAGTTATCCTGTCAATGATTATATAAAAGCCAGGATTTCATCATATTTAGTCTTGTGTTTGTCTCTGGTTGTATGAGTATTATGAGGTCAGTGGCACAGAATTTTGGTAACTTTAATAAGTAATCCTTTTACCATAGATAAAATAACTAATGTAGTCTGTCATTGATGTTGTCATGTCACTGATTGGAACACATCATTTACTGAATTGTATGATTCATTTTTGTCTGGGAATCTGACCAGTCCCTTCTCATACTGACAAATACACTATTGTTCAGAAGTTTTGATAAGATTTTTTAAAATAATTTTGAAAGTCTCTTATGCTCACCAAGGCTGTATGCATTAAATAAAAGATACAGTAAAAACAGTAATATTGTGAAATGTTATTATTATTACTATTATTAATAATAATAAAAATAAAATAATAATAATACATATATATTAATAATAACAATAACGTCTCCAGCGTTTGTTCTTTTTAATAATAATAATAATAATAATAACAATTTAAAATAACTGTTTTTCTATTTGAATATACTTTTAACATGTAATTTATTCCTTTGACGGCAAAGCTTAATTTTCAGCAGCCATTACTCCATTCTTCAGTGTCACATGATCCTTCAGAAATCATTCTAATATGCTGATTTGGTGCTCGGGAAACATTTCTTATATTATTATTATGTTGAAAACAGTTGTGCTGCTTAATATTTTTGTGGAAACAAAAATAAATAATAAATAAATGGTTCAAAATAACAGCATTTATTTGAAAAAGAAATCTTTTGTAGCATTATAGTAAATGTCTTTACTGTCACTTTTGACGCATGGAATGTATCCTTTTTGAATAAAAAAAAAAAAAAGGCCAAAACTTGCTGACCCCAACTTCTAAACAGTAGTGTTTCTCCTGGTGTACATTTCTGAGAAATAAAAGCATAACTTAATTTGTGTTAATTTCACTAAAACATGTTTAGTGAGACACTTTACCAAAACATGAAAAACTGCCTATTGAAAATGTATATTCTGTTATTATCAGTCCTCTCTCAGCCAAAATAGAGCCTCCATTTTTTTTAGCTTGTTCTAGACAGCAGCTTTAGAGCCTACAGTGTATGTTCCCCAAGCAAAACAGTATTAATTTTGGAAGAACTGCTGATCGTCCATTCTGTGGGCTGTGTGAAGAGGATTTGTAGAATACAGAAGAAGCAGTAAAGTGCTATGCCATCAATAATGAAACCTCCCAGGGTTCCCCTGCCTTCATAAGGGCGAGTTGGAGCGGCGTGAGGAATCACCATTGCATTCATCGTGCCATCTCATTATTTAGCCTAAGGGTTTAAATGCCGTGTTGCAGTCCAGCCTGACAATGAATTATCTTCCCCCGCAGACAAGCTCAATGTCGGAGAGAGTTCCCACTCCTGTTCCTGGAGCTCCCCCAGCGATCGCTTCCCAGGAGCTGCTGAACGTGTGAGTATGCCTCCATCACGCCTCCAGTGTTCTCTTGTTCCTACACCAACTGTTTGTTTCTGTGCTAAACTTGAGCTTGGCCTGCCAGTGCTGTTTTGTGGAAATAAATCAACAAGAATAAGAAATAAATAGCATTCTTGCTGAATCTTTTGTCTTGGTTCTGCAGGGTGGCCTGGGAAGAGATGCTCTTGGACAATCTGCTGAATTTTGCTGCCACACCAAAAGGACTGCTGCTCCTCCAACAGACTGGAGCCATCGATGAGTGTGTCACCTACATGTTCTCAAGATTCACCAAAAAACTACAGGTATTATAATCAGATGCCACTTTCAAAAGTGTTGTATTCTGACAGTAATATTAGTGGCTAGTGATACCTGAAGTAAGGGGATAGTCCACTCAAAAAAAGAAAAAGTAACTCACCCTCAAGTAGGGCTGGACAATAATAATAATAATTCAATATCAATATGTATCGCGATATATATTTTTTTCAATAACGGTGATATGATTTTTAAACACATTTTCGATATTTCGATATACATTTCCCTTACATTGATTTATTTGTGGCGTTTGACATCGTTGAATAAACATGAGCACTGCACGTTTCAAAATCAAAACACGGCGCGGGTGTTTTATATGAATGTATCTCTGAAGGGAAAGGACTGTCTTCAGAAAAGTTTTGATGGAATTTTCATTTTATCTGATAAAGAAGCGTTCATGAGCGGAGCTGCTTTGATTACAGCCATTACTGGGGAAACCGCTTGTTCTACCACTCTCAAAGCGCCTCCTGCTGGCAGACAATCAGTTTGCATTTTCAATAAACCCATCTCCAGCAACATGTTTTTGTTGTTGCTCTTTGCTTTTTCTGTAGCAACTCTGAGCACTTTTCATACTCTTTATACTGGCTAAAGCACATTTGTTTCAATCTACACGAATAATCAGCCTACACTACCAATCAAAAGTTGTTGTTTTTTAAGAATTCTCTTCTGCTCACCAAGCCTGCATTTATCTGATCCAAAGTACAGCAAAAACAGTAAAATTTTGAAATATTTTTATTATTTAAAATAACTGCATTCTATTTGAATATATTTTAAAATGTAATTTATTCCTGTGATCAAATCTGAATTTTCAGCATCATTACTGCAGTCTTCAGTGTCACATGATCCAGAAATCATTCTAATATGCCGATTTGCTGATTATCAATATTTAAAACAGTTGAGTACATTTTTTTTTCAGGATACTTTGATGAATAGAAAGATCCAAAGATCAGCATTTATCTGAAATCAAAAGCATTTGTAACATTATACACTCTTCCATTCAGAAGCTTGGAGTCAGTATGATTTCTTTTTCTTGTTTTTCTTTTTTAAAGAAATTAATACTTTTATTAAGCAAGGATGCTTTAAATTGATCAAAAGTGATGATAAAGACATTTACAAAATATTTATATTTCAGATAAATGCTGTTATTCTGAACTTTCTATTCATCAAAGAAACATGACAAAATTCTACTCAGCTGTTTTCAACATAATAATAAATGATTTTTGAGCAGCAAATCAGAATATTAGAATGATTTCTGAAGGATCATGTGACTGGAGTAATGATGCTAAAAATATAGCTTTGAAATCACAGGAATAAATTGCATTTTTAAATATTTTCAAATAGAAAACAGTTGTTTTAAATAGTAAAAATATTTCAAAATGTTACTGTTTTTGCTGTATTTTGGATCAAATAAATGTAGGCTTGGTGAGCAGAAGAGAATTCTTTAAAAACATAAAAAAATATTTTTTTAGATAGTGTATGTTAGCCTATAGTTTGAAGTTAAAAATATTAATAGGTGAGTCTGAGACAATTATTTGACAGTGATTTCACATTTCTTTTTTGAATGAAGGCTAAATACAAATAAAAGGTGAACATTAATTTATTTGTGCGTTTTTTTGTTCTAAAATATTATATGGTTTTATATGAGGTGTCATAGACTTGGCAAATTAATTTTTCATAAGTTTGTATGCACAGTCATCTGTTGTGGGCATTCTTGGCAGTTTTTACGAGGCTTTAATAGTGTTCATATCGATATCGGAATTATATCGCATCGACCGAAATTAAGAAATATATCGTGATATAAATTTTGGCCATATCGTCCAGCCCTACCCTCAAGATAAATTTTGGCCATATCATCCAGCCCTACCCTCAAGTCATTCAGTTTCTTCTAAAATAAGATATTTTGAAAAATGTTGGTAACAAAACAGTTTAATTTCCCATTGACTTCCATTGTATGAACAAAACATGCATTGGAAGTCAATTTGGAACCAAATTTGGTTACCAACATTCTTCAAGATGTCTTCCAAAAAAAAGTCGAACAGGTTTGCAGTAACATGAAAGTGGGCAAATGATGACAGAATTTTCATTATTTTGGTAAACTATCCCTTTAAAGGTACAATAAATATTGTTAATGTTAATTTGTGTTTTGCTGTTGGATCTAATAATGGTCATATGATCAACAAATTGCTTCATCTTATATATAATATACGTAGCAACACCCCAACGTGCACTAGTATAGCGGTAATGAGTTTTGTATGTGCAAACATTACTCATATTTTCATTAGAATTTTTTTTTTTAATCTGGTTTATTTTTATAAAAACGATTTGTAGCAAGCAGTTGTTTTTATTGCTAGTGTCTACTCGGTTGTCATGGGACACAAGGAATGTTTTTTTTTTTTTGAGAAGTTGCTAGTTATTAAATATTTCCAGACTTCGAAAGGTAATCTTTTAATGTGTATTTCCTCCATTCTTTCTCTAATTTCAGGTCAGCAGGTGTGAGAAGTTTGGTTATGGTGTAATGGTGACCCAGGTGGCCACTACAGCCCCAGGCATCGCGGCTTTGCAAAGCTCAGGTAGCTAGAAGACTTAATTATGACCAATTTAATGTACATCTTGAGAGTTAAGAGCAGCATCTTCTATATTTTCTCCTCATAGCTTCAGACAGCAAAGCTCATGTTAAAAAATGTACTGAATGTATTGTACATTGTTAGTGTATCTGTAATCATTAAATTTTTTTTACTATTGATTTAGGGCTTACTGAGACAGTGTTGCTTAATATGGAGGCTAATGTTTTAACATGGAAACTAGTATTTGAGGCTGTCAAATTAGTTAAACTTTAAGCGGATTCACAGGATTTGTCCAAACAATTGTGGTGGAGTTGTGGTCAGCCTTGGAGTGTGGTCGAGAGGATGTAAGGGTGGTCCATCCTAAATCTACTCCAATGGACCCTATCGACAGGAGCTGTCTTAAGGTTATGACTCCACCATCTTTTACATTTCAAAAAATATTCAGAAATGCTTTGCTATTTTCAGTTATTTAGAAGTGAAAGCTACGCTTCATTGAGATTTAGATAAGGATTTGATTTCCAATTTCCACAGTGTGCCTGTAAAAGCGAGTAATTCCATGAATAAATGATTTTAGAAAAAAATACACACAATCAACCACCGACCACTTGAAAGTCGAGATGAATTTACATTCACAGCCTATTTTACTTGATTAACATTATCCAGTAGAAAGTTTTTTTTTATCAAAATTTATAAAAACACATTCTTAATTATTGTTTTTAATTAACCTGAAAAAAAAAAACACTAAAAGCTTATCACATTATTTGACCCAAAATATGGGTAATGTTTTAGAATGGCTTGTTGGCATTTTCTAAGTTACCTCTTTGTAAAAAAATATCAGTCTGAAGTGACTGAGTGAACTTTAGGGATTTTTGTATGTGTGGGTAATATGTTAAAGAATGACTTGGATGACGTTTTCTAAGTTATCTCTTTGATGAAAAATATCAATCTGAAATGGCTATGAGTGAACTGTAACGATTTGTGTGTGTGTGTAGTCCTTCCTGTCTCTAGTGAATCTGCTTTCTTCACCTCACGCTGTGTGGGAGCTGCTGGGACATCGAGCGCTTCCTAACAAGATGGAGTACAATCTGAGAGAGATGGCCACATCATTTTTAGTGAGTAAAATAGACTGGACAGCCTGCCTCTCAAACACAAACTGGCCTATTAGTGTCAGCCCACAACCATGAACCGTCCACAGTCTGTTCACTGATCTTGATGTATTGAGTGATTTCTCAATACTTTTCACAATAATTTGCAGTTGAAATCATGATCATTTGAGGGCAGACTTTGACCGATGATGTACCGCATATCCCAGAACTAGCTATGGTCTTTGTCACAATTATTTTGAAATCATGCATTTTTGATAATCACTCACTCACTCTTCCCGTCAGGACCTGATGGACCGACTCATCATTATTAACTCTGACACGAAGATTCATTCCCTTTTCAACTATGAGCAGTCCCACACGTTTGGCCTGAGGTAAGATCAATAGTTCAGTCCTCTCTACCACTAAATGGACAGGAAGTGCACAGAACTGATAGTGGGTCCTTATAGAGGAGTATTCATTCTTCTCTGGGGATCAATGGCTGATTGATCCAGGCCTTTGTGTTCTCTGTGCTATGATTATCCTGAATTAATGCCAGACAGGGTGGTACCAGGATATTAATAAGTTCTCAGGCTCTCAAAGGAAGTAGAATTGACTGGTGTAATCCACCTACTTATTTAAAATGAGCACTTTTGACACATTTGTTCAACACATATCAAGGAATTACCATAGTGTAAAAATAAATTCTGTTTTTATTTTATGTATGAGATCACATTTACATAGATAAATAATGCTGCAGCGAATATTTCCCCTACTTCCCCTGTGGTATTTATATTAAAAAGGACTATGTCAATAGTATCATTATGAGTACCGTAGGTCTCTAAAAAGGCAAAATATTTGAGTATTAAGAACAAGGTAGTAATAAAAATCATGTATTAATATTACCATATAATTTATTACATAATATAAGCAAAATTTTATACAGGCCCTCTTTTTTGCTGATTTACTATGATGTGTTCAGATCCTGTTGTTTTTGAAAAACTCAACCGACTTTCAGTGGTTTCATGCTGGTTTCACATTAAAACATGTTGTGGTCAGCACAAACCATGTTTACGCTCACTGCAAGTGAACTATTTATTTTATCGTGTTTTATTTTATCTCGTGAGGTTTATTGATACATTTCACAAATGAGGAGATTCCAAAGCAACCTGCTAATGTTGCTAGTGCTAGTGCCAAAATACTGTTAGAGTTCAATTGGATGTACGGCCTTTGACCGCAAAAGTTATTGTTTGTGTTTCGCATTGTATTTCCCTTTTGAGAACCACTGAGGTCGAGTATGACAGATTTTTTCAATCTCAGAAGATTAGGTTATCTATTTGAGTGTAAAAAAATATTATGGATATGAAAAAGTGTCTTTCTTGAGTATTTCAATCATTGTAATCCACATTTTGGAGTATGACAGCTGAGATCTAGGATTAAAGTCTCAATTTTGGTTGAGATTTTAAATAAGCATTCTGTGTTTTTCTTGGCGTGTGTTTGTGTTATTCCGCCTGAATCTAGATCTTTATATGGCATTTCGCCTCAGTGCTGAGGTTGTTGCCTTTGGCAATCTGAAGATCGATTGCGATGATGAAACCAAGTGCTGTTTATTTGTTGCTGTCATGTTTGTTTTGTTGTCTTTCCCTTAATAAAGTCAAGATGTACTCTTAAGTTGTGGAATAGACCGGAGTGACATCCTCAGGCATATTCTGGTAAAAAAAATATATATAAATGTATCATTTTCATCATTACCCAGCTTATATGGTAACCGTTCATAATAATGAGTTGAGTAGAAACATTGTTTACACACTTAAAAGTTAGTGAGATGAAATAAAGGAGAATAATAAGGAGAAATAGAGAGGAAGTGCCAATTACTAACATCATTTACTGAAGAAAGTGTGTGGTGACTTTATTTATTTATTTTACTGTTATGCAGTTGTTAGGATGGTCTGGGTGGTTGAATGTCAAACAAGCACCTACGATGGTCTGGTGTCTAGATAAAGATGCAGTCACATACAGTATCTCACAGAAGTGAGTACACCCCTCACATTTTTGTAAATATTTTATTATATCTTTTCATGTGACAACACTGAATGCACAAGAAAGCCCACAAACAGTTTGCTAAAGACAAGGCAAGGCAAGGCAAGTTTATTTATGTAGCACATTTCATACACAATGGTAATTCAAAGTGCTTTACATAAAAGAAATGAACAGATAATTAAAAAAAAATAATCACAACAATAAAACAAGGAATTCAAAAATTTGAAAATGATTTAAAAATTGATTTAAGAGGTTTAAAATTCATTTAAAAGTTAAGAATAGAAAATGATTATACATAAAATACAGTGCAATCAGTTCGGACAAGCATACTAAGGACATAGATTACTGGAACCATGTCCTGTGGTCTGATGAGACCAAGATAAACTTATTTGGTTCAGATGGTGTCAAGCGTGTGTGGCGGCAACCGGGGAGAGGAGTACAAAGACAAGTGTGTCTTGCCTACAGTCAAGCATGGTGGTGGGAGTGTCATGGTCTGGGGCTGCATGGTCTGATTGCTGCCGGCACTGGGGAGCTACAGTTCATTGAGGGAACCATGAATGCCAACATGTACTGTGACATACTGAAGCAGATCATGATCCCCTCCCTTCGGAGACTGGGCCGCAGGGCAATATTCCAACATGATAACGACCCCAAACACACCTCCAAGACGACCACTGCCTTGCTAAAGAAGCTGAGGGTAAAGGTGATGGATTGGCCAAGCATGTCTCCAGACCTAAACCCTATTGAGCATCTGTGGGGCATCCTCAAACGGAAGGTGGAGGAGCCCAAGGTCTCTAACATCCACCAGCTCCGTGATGTCATCATGGAGGGGTGGAAGAGGACTCCATGCCCAAGAGGGTTAATTGGGCCCAATTTAGGGGTGTACTCACTTTTATGGCCAGCGGTTTAGACATTAATGGCTGTGTGTTGAGTTATTTTGAGGTTTTGAGGG